GAAGAGTATGATGGGAAAGTAGATAAACATGGCCAACTGCATGGAGTTCTACGGTCTTGGTAGTTTGCAAACCTTTACCAAGAGCCTTGTGGGTAGCTTGCGTAGCAGGTCAGACGAGTGCCACAATATGTAGTCCCTTTCTGCTAAAGTACTGTCTTAGGGCCTTCAAGGAGTCAGGAAAAGATTGAGGGAGAAGGATTTCTGCCTCCAGACTGCCTACGTACTGGAAACTGCAACATCAACACTTCCCTGGGTCTCCAGCCTGCCTGTCTGCCTGCCTGCCCTGCACATTTCAGACTTGTCAACCTCACAATTGTGCAAGCCAATTCCTTAAAACAAATCTCTCTATATTTGTGCGTGCACACACACACCCCCTATTGGTTCTGTTTCTCTGGACAACCCTGACTAATACAGAATTTGCCTGGATCAAGGCCACCTGGCTAGACAAGCTGAGAGATGAGACACTTGGAAGACGCGTCAGTGGAGAAACTGCTCTGGTTAGTTCAGCTGGTAGGTGTGGGCCTCTAGGATTGCAGCAGGCCTCTGAGCACTTGTCCTCAAAGCAGGAGACCTGGAAAACCAGTGTTCTTTTGGGTTCAGACTTGAACTGAGGAGATTGTTGGGAAAGAGGCTGTCACATTCACCACTGAGCCACAGCAACACTTCACGCTGACCAGTTCTATACCTGTCTGCAGGTCTTTGACTTCTAGGATTTGGGCAAATCTGGAATGCCTTGGGGTTTAGAATTTCCTTAAGAATTGTTAATATCCTACTGTGAGGCATTTAAAAAGTGCAGCAAAAATAATCTTACATTGAAATGTTATGATTTAAAAATTTTTTCCAGTTTCTAATTGAAATAGCCCTTACAGTATTAAGATGTTTCTTTGATTAGCACAATGCCCTTAAACTGAAACTATAAAATTTTAAAGCTCCAACTTCATTTGGTTTGTAGCTTTAACACTACTTTTGAAAAAATAGCTTTATTGAACTATACATACCATAAAATTCCCCCTTCATTTTATTTCACAGGATTCGCCCATTGTAAGCAATTCCATTATTTTTAGTAAATTTATATATCTAGAACATTTTCAACACACTAAACTGTTTCCTCATGCCAATTTGCAGTCAATCCTCACCGCCGACTTCTGGCTCCAGGTAACTACTAATCTACTTTCTGTTTCTGTAGCTTGCCTTTCCTAGAACTTTCAGATAAAGGAAATCATGAAGTATGTAGTTGTTTACACTTGAGTTCTTTCACTTAGCATAATGTTTTTGATGTTCATCCCTGTTGTTGCAGGGATCAGTTCATTTATTTTTATTGCTGGGTGATATTCCATTGTGTGGATATACCACATTCTGTTTATCCCTTCACCGTCTAGTGTTTAGTTGTGAATAATGCTGCTGTGAACATTTGTATATAAATCTTTGTGGAGCCACGTTTTCATTTCTCTTGGATAAATACCTAGGGCTGAAATTGCTAAGTTGTATAGTCTGTATATATTTAACTTTTTAAGTACCAAACTATTTTCCAGAGTAGTGGTACCAGATTACATTCCCACCAGCAATGTAGGAAGGAGAGTTCTAATTTTCTGATATCATCACCAACACTTGGTATTGTCAGTCTTTTTTTTTTTTTTTTTTTTTTTGGCAACCTCCATTGCCCAGGCTGGAGTGTAGTGGCATGATGTCAGTTCACTACAACTTCCACCTCCTGGGTTCCAGCGTTTGTCATGCCTCAGCCTCCAAGTAGCTGGGATTACAGGCATGTGCCACCATGCCCAGCTAATTTTTGTATTTTTGGTAGAGATGGGGTTTCACCATGTTGGCCAGGCTGATCTTGAACTCCTGACCTCAATGATCCGCCTGCCTTGGCCTCCCAAAGTGCTGGGATTACAAGGGTGAGCCACCATGCCTAGCCTTGTCAGTCTTTTTGATCATAGCCATTATAGTTGGTATGTAGAGGTATCTGTTAGGACGTGGATTTGCATTTTGTTAATAATATTTCATGATGTTGAACATTTTTTCATGTGTTTATTAGACAGTCACATTCTTTAATAAAATGACTATTCAAATCTCATACCCATTTTTAAATTGGGTTGTTTGTCATTTATTGATTTGTAAGCATTGGCTTTGTGATTTTCTTATTTTGTTGAGGTAGCAGACTTCACTTGGGGAAGGGGTAGAGTTTTTAATTTTAGTTGTCATATACTTCCTCTTATTTTTGATTGTGGAATTAGTACAACTAATTCTCCAACCCAAGTAAAATTAGTTTTGCCAAGTGTTCCCTGAAATCGTTTATGGAGTAGAAGAGTAAGACTATCAGGTGAGGGGGCGCTGATGCCTGGGGCTCTGGTGTTGCCTGGGGCTGTGAGAGTGCTCTGAACCCTCTGCCGGTGGCATTTCCAACTTGAAGATTATCTTCCAGTAGGATTTTCTAACCACCTATTCTGCCCAGTGTCTGGAGGGTGTTTCTTTTTTTTTCTATTTATTTTTAGTTAGTAAACGCCTTTTGAATCCCTGTAGTACTATGTTAGCTGTGGTGAGAAATGCTCTATAAAGTGAGACGTGGTCTTTGTCCTTGAAAGAAGAGCACGTAGGCAAACACACAGCAATGCGATGAGATACATGACGAAGTGCAGGTGAATGGTTGTATGCAATGTCAGGAAGAGTTTGCCTGAGGCAGCTGAGTAACCCCTCAAAAAACCATTACTGGATTAAAGGGCGATCACCTGGGTAGCTTCCTAGAGCCAGTCTACAAAAGGCACTAAGGCAAAGAGGAAAAAATGGCAAAAATGTTTTAACAAGATCTCTTGAGATCAGGGGCTCAAGACCAGCTTGGCCAACATGGCCAAACCCTGTTTCTACCAAAAATTCAAAAATTAGCCAGGCATGGTGGTGCATGCCTGTAGTCCCAGGTACTTGGAAAGGTGCAGTGTGTGTGCTCTTGGAAGGCTGAGGCAGGAGAATCTCTTGAACCCTGAGACTGCATCTCAAAAAAAAAAAAAAGTGTTGTGTGTTTGAATGAGACACTTGCAGCACAGGGGGCCTGGAAGGGGTTTCCTCTAAGAGCTGGGGAATTATTGCTTCTAGTTTACTGCTGCACATTTGCTTTGCTGAGTGGGGAACTTGGGCTGGACATCAGAGATAAAATGAGTGGGGCCAGTGAGGAAAGGCCATACTCTTCCCGGGTTCCCTGCCCCTCTTTGGTGGGTCACTGAGAAGGTGGCACTGCAGATAGTGGATGCTGCAGATAGTGGATAGTGGATGTTGAGGAAAGGGGCATTCCTGAGAGCTAAAAAAGTCCCAAAAGACCTTTTGGAAAAAGTGGGTTGGTCTTCAGCTGAGCCCAGAAGAGCGGGTAGGATTTAAATAATTGAAAAGAAAGACATGGGAGGCTCTATGATGTAAAGTCCTCCTCAAGGAACCACTGGTTCTGTGAGATGAACTGTGTTGCTTGCAGTTGACCTACGAGGGCAAAGTTAGAATGGTTTAAGAATGTCTAAAATTCTGTAAGTGTTCTTTATCAGCAGTAAGTGTTACTTGCATCTTTCTCTCCTTCTGTATCTCTAATGATGACAGCCACAGATTACAGATCTCTGGGGTCAGTCAAGGCAAGCAGCTTGCTGGAGTGTTGGAAAGGACCCTGTTAAGAGGAGCCCAAATGGCTGCCTTAGAGGGCATGGGAAGAGCTGCAAAAATTGGTTCAGCTAGTAGTGCTGTCAAGACAGCTCTGTGTGTGATGGAGTCAGGGACATGCTATGGTAAACAGGGTCAGCTGAGGAAAGAATCCTTTGAAGGGTGTCCAGTCCCTAGTATGGTGCTTACATTGGATGGTAGTGGGAGCTCATATTCTCTTATACAGTTGATCCCTGATGGTGCAAGGGTCAGGGCTGGCTGCAGTTATGATTTACTAGATGAGCAAAGATGCAATAATCTCCTTGGAGAAGGACATTTGCATATGACATATGGACATGCCTCTCCCATCTTTCATGGTGGGTGGGTCTACAAACCCTGGATTGGGGTCACGGGTGTCTCAAATCCCTTTCTCACCTCCCTTTCTCACCTCTCAGTGTTCACAGTTGAGAGCTCATGGACATGATGATTGGGAGGCTCTCTCAGAGTAGTCTGTCATCTTGGGAGATGGCTTGAGGAAGTGCCACAGTGGTAGAACAAATAGTTAACTCTTGACATGGGATCCAGAAGTCAAGCACAGAGCCTTCCAAAGTTACTGCTCTGGCTCGGCTTTTAAAGATCCCCAGATGTGACAACAGTTGTCTATCTTCATTTTTCTATTTCAAAAGGAAAAGTTCCTGGCTAATGTGATGTCATTCTGGTGAAAGTAAAGTGACGCTTCTGAAGCTTTTCTTGGTCAATAAAAGGCAGTTTGAAGAGGCTGTCCCATTAGACTGCAGAAAGCTGGAGGCACTGCAGAAATGAGTGTGTGGGCACTGCCTGGGGTTGAATCCTTGGCTGGCCATTGCTGTGTGGCTGTGGGCTCCTCACTTAACTCTTCAGAGCCACAGTTTCTTTATCTGTATAACAGGTATAATAAAAGTACCCATCTCAGAAGGTTGTTGACCTAGACAGGGCTTTGTTTAAAATGAAGACTCAATAAATATGAGAACCCTGCTTAATCAGAACTTCTTATGGTGAACTACTGTCCATTTATGTTTTTCCTTAAACAAAGATGTACTGAGTGCCAGCTACATACCAGATACCCTCTGGGTCTGTGCTATGCAGTACGATAGCCATTAGCCACACGTGGCTGCTTAAACATATGTAAAACTAAATAAAATCAAAAATTCAGTTTTGATGTGGTTTGGGTGTGTCCCCACTAAAATTTCAACTTGTATTTCCCAGAATTTTCATGTGTTGTGAGAGGGACCCAGGGGGAGGTAATTGAATCATGGGGGCTGGTCTTTCCTGTGCTATTCTCGTGATAGTGAATAAGTCTCACAAAATCCGATGGGTTTATCAGGGGTTTACGCTTTGGCTGTTTCCTCATTTTCTCCTGCCGCCACCATCTAAGAAGTGCCTTTCCCCTCCCACTGTGATTCTGAGGTTTCCCCAGCCATGTTGAACTATAAGTCCAATTAAACCTCTTTTTCTTCCCAGTCTCGGGTATGTTTTTATCAGCAGCATGAAAACAGACTAATACAAATTCCTCAGTTGTCCTAGCCACATTTTAAGCACTCAGATGCCACATGTGGCTGACCGGTGGCTACCATATTGGACCATGCAGCATAGAACATTTCCATCATTGCCAAAAGTTCTACTGGACAGCATTAATCGATATAGCAACCGACAAAGCAGTCATGTGAGATCTAAACATGGATTTTTGAGCAACCCCAACTTGTGAATGTGTTTCATTTTCTCCTGGGAATGTGTTGATAGTCTCCACGTTGGGTTATGGGTGTCTCAACACTAATTAGCAGAGGTTTAGCAAGGTCTCGGTGCTGCTTTCAGGATTTATTAGTAAGGACTCTATTATTAATGAGAAGAAGATGTGCTGTGGGAAGTTTCCTAAATTCTTTATTAGACACAGGGACTGAGCAATGAGATAAATGACAGTGCCCCTCCCTGCTCCACCCACGTTCCCTCAGGTTTATTACAGGACTTTAGGTAGCAGATGGCACGGACCTGGGTGGGGTGATGCCAGGCCAGGAATTCTGCCTTTGCTCACAGGTGGCGTCTTCCTTAACCCTCTCAGCCATCCTCTGAGGGAGGGAAGAAAGACATCTTCCCTTCTCAAAGCACTGAGAAGCAAAGGGTCTGAGAAGACGGCCCAGTAAGGTGGCAAAGAGAAGGAGGTAGATGCCAGGCCTCTTTGTCCTGCAAGAACCTTCTAGAACACCCAGCAGCTAGCTCCTGAGGATGTGGGCCAGGGGGAGGAATTCTGACTTCAGAGTAAGGTGCTTTCTGCCCTACTGCCAACATGCTGTTCAGTTCCATGGGCAATGGCGTTTCCAATTAAACTAATTAAACCTCATTTTCTTCCCAGTCTCGGGTATGTCTTTAAAAGGTCGAAGGCACATTTATTTCTCCTCTCTCCACTCCCCTGTCCTTTCCTTCGGTCAAGGAAATAGGCTACGTAAATACTAAAGCGTGAAACCTCAACTAATATGTACTTACTGTTTTGCTAATAATTATTGCTTTTTTTTTTTTCCTTTTGAGTCCCATTAATGTTGTGAAAGCCACATCTGTCTGTGTGAAGATTCTTTAGGGAACAGGACTGCTAAGTTCCAGCTTGTGGGAGCTTGGAGGGAGAGGTGAGTGTGCGTTTGTGAGGATGTGAGCACACACGCTGCAGTGTGCTGCCCACAGAATGTCTCTTGACTGTAGTCAAGGGCAAAGTAATGATTTTAGACTACTTGTTATTTAAATGTGTCCCTGGCAGGCTCTTCTCATCTCCCACAAGAATATGAATAATCAAAAGTGGGTGGTAGAAAATGAGATATGTTCCTCTTCTCTGTCTCTTCCCCCTTTCCAATAGAGCTGGGACATCAGAGGAAGAAAAAGCAGCAGGCAGAAAAATACTGGGGAAAAAATGCCACGTGGTTTTGTTTAGCTGAGCTTCTGCTCCCTCCAGCACCCCCACGTGAGACATTTGTTTACCCCCACGATGCTGCTCTTGGAGAGTCCTGGGGGACAGGTTTCAAGCCCTTGGGGATGCAGCCTGTCTAACTTAATATGCACAGCCGTTCACATCCAGGGCACAGAGGCAGTCTGGCTTTCCCCAGGAGGCCCACGGGAACCACAATGCTTCATTTGTCTGGAAAACTGAGACTTAGCTGCACGTTCTTGCTTGAATGCAGCGGGCCTCCAGCCACAGCCTGCCGACATGGGGGTTTTCAGGGGAGATGTGCTTCATGAGCCAGCATTTGCTCTTCTTCCCAGTCCCCAGACCCAGCCAAGATTATAGATAGATGTGCTCATCACGTGCAGGTGCTGGGGAAGCCAGTGGGACTTCGTTGGCTACATTCACCAACAGGATTTCCCAATTTCAGTTTTCAAACACATTCCACATCTGTATGCCTCACCCATTCACCGAGCACCTACAATGTGTGTAAGGCAATATTCTCTGTCATGGGCAGTTAGAAAAGGTCAAAGTCATGTAAGATATGGCATGTACTCTGAGAGAACTCATGATCTATCCAAAACCTACTCATCACATTTGGAAAGAGAAGAGAAACTAACATTCTATGGAGTACTTACTATGTGCCAGATCTGGAGTGAGGCACAGTACAAGTGTCATTCATTTGCATCTCATGGCCAACCTCCAAGGTGGACATTTAGCATCTCCATCCTACAAGGGAGAAATTTAACTGTAGAGAGGTTAAATATCACGTCACTGATTCTGTGATGTGTATTATTTTCACATTGGACCATCTGAAATATAGATATATCTAAAAGGGCTTTTCTTTCTTCATAGCAAAATAACTGTAGGTCTTTGCAGTGGTGTCTTAGATTCTGTGAAATATGGTATTTTGGCAAGTGAAGAACAAGTGGAATCAGAATTCAACTGAGGTTTGCCTGACTCCAAAGCTTGTGTGTTTTCCAGTTTAATGTGCTGCAGTATTGGTGGTCTGTATGAACCAAGGCCATATCATCTTCATTGACAAAGTATAAAAACAGGGAAATGGTGACTGACCTGGAATGTGCATCTTCTGATTCCATAACTGAGGAGACAATAGCCCAGGGTACTGTGTGTATCCAACAGGATGTTAAACAATTGGGAAAATGTTATTTCATGATCTTCGCTTCTCTGTTGATTATAACTTATTTTTGAAGAGGCTAAAATAAATGGCAAGCTCTTGTATGGATAAGATATACAATGCAAGTGTGATACATTCCTCCATCTGTTCTGGTGTGCTCCAGGCTAAGTGTGGTGCTGTTACCAACAGGGATTCTTCAGGGGAGTGACCAGTGGCCTCCTTACTGTCCTGGAGGGCCATGATAGGAGACACAGGCTGACTCCCTCTCCTACAGAACTGAATTCTGGGAAGTCCCCAAGCGCGGGCCCACGTGTGTTTATTATTGTCACAATGCCCTGTGGCCAGCACTTGCAGAGAAGGAACAAAGTCTGCTGAATTCCACGGCTGACCTGGATTCAGATAGCAGTGGCAAGGGCTCCATAGAGAAGGAAACAGCCAATCCTGCTGCTGGCTTATGCACACCACAGGCTTGATCTGCCTGGCTCCGGCATGCTTAAACACATTTGGTCCCATAATGGGCTTTGACTGAGTCATTTTCCCGAGCAGCTGATGTGAAAAGCAGAGAAGTGGAAGGGGGATTGGTCAGGGACCTTAGTATCTCAGATGGGAGGCTGTGGGAAATAGTGGAAAGAGAATACCACTGACAATCAGAACACCCAGGACAGGCCTAGGGCTTCTTGTCTTTTAACACCCTCAGGAAACTGAGTCTCAGGAACTGAGTGGCTTATCTGTGTTGTCACAGCTGATCACTGACAGCTGAGTCAGGGCCAAACCCAGGTCTCTGGAGAGTGTGCCTATTACTTTATCAGGTCATTTAATAACTGGGGAACTGTGTTTTTCCAACAATGAAGAAAATGAGGAGGTAAACTCCTAGGAAGTCTCCAAAGGAAATATCCTAAAATAACAACAATGAAAACACCTACATGCACAACAGTGTTCACTGAAGCCTTATTTATGATTACTGAAACACTAGAAACAAACATAAATTTTCCACAGTAGGAGAACAGTTTAGGTAAATATGATAAATATAATTGATGAAATACTAAATAGCCATTAGAATTATGTGTACGAAGACCATAGCAATATAGAAAATTTTCTATGATATAGGTTAAGAAAAAGGACACAGAAGCATTTGCATATTATGATGATAGCCTTGTTTAAAATACACACATGTGCACACACACACACACACACACACACTTGCCCAGAAAATTAAAGTCTGGTAAGGAGCCCGAATCCTAATGATGTTTGTTATCAAATAATGGGATTATGAATTTTTTTCTTCTCTAAATTTTCTGTTTTAAAAAATATAATAAAGAAACAATGTAATTTTTCAAAAGAAAGAGACAGTAAATTGGGAAAGAATGGTTTGGTCGGGGTGACTCTCCAGCTCTTATATTCTGTGATCCTTTGGCTCTGGACTGGCTGTTTCAAGCTGTAGGTACATGTTTTTTATAGAGCAAAAATAAGTTTAGCCTTAGCCAAAGGGAAAAGGCAGTCTTCTGGGAAGTGGAAGTGGTTGAATAAAGGTCTAGGGACTCTCCTGTTGTTTAGGAGAATAATTGGACATGATTCTGAATTTGGGGAAAAACCATAGACTTCTTGGCTGCAGGGTAATTTATTTGTATTTCTAACCTTGTATGACTAAAACACAAACGCTGTGGAAACAGCTGGACCAGTCCCATCATTTTTCTCTGCCTCCTGAATTTGCCCCAGGGTGGGAAGTGAAGCTCTTGTTGGCTTCATTCAGCCTTCCAAAGAAAATGTACAATTGCAACATTTCCATTTTTTATTTCCCCTTTTCTTTGCAGGAAGATTTCTTTTCAGTCAAACCTGTTGGTATAAATGGTTAGCAGTTTTAGAACCCTGGGCCTGAGAAAATTCATCATCATCTGCTTGAATCTCTTTATGAGCTGCGTGTGTGGTAGTATGTGGCCAAAAGGGTGTTGGCCAAAGAGCCTGGACAGGTGGTTCATGTCCTGACACCATACTAATTAGCTGTGTGACCTTGGGCAAGTGACCTCACCCTGCTAGACTTTCATTTCCTTAGCTATGTAATGCAGGCATCAGAGTAGATTTTTAAGAGTTCTTTTTAGCTCCCACCTTTTATGTCTATTCTAATAACTTGCTTTAAAAGCTTGGTATCGACTTAGCCAAATTATTTAACTTGGCAAATATTTTTATGTGCTGTTCTATTACGACGGCTGTCATATGGTTGATTCACTTGGCTTCTGCTATTGCTTCTTCTTCTTCTTTTTTTTTTTTTAATCAGTTATACAAATATACACAACTCTCCTTTATACCAGGAAGCATTCTTCCTTTTATCTGCAAGGGAGTAGATGTATTCCAGGACAAAGCAGCGTGGCTCATTGTGGGCTGGGGGGTCGGCTGCTTGCCAGTAGCGTGTGTGTGTATGTGTACGTGTGTGTTTATGCACACAGGTGCCTGTGTGTATGTGTGCATGTGTTCATGTGTGTGTCCATGGGTGTGTGCACACCTGCTCAGCATGTTGTGCCTTGTTCCTCCCCACCCCCCTTAATAGCAGTGCTGAGAACACATCTGCATGAGTAACTGCTAATACCAACTGTCAAGTTAGCAGTTCAGTGGGGTTTGGTATAATTTTCTGGCACAAATTTATCAGCACAGTAGGCGTTTGGGGTTAACTTCTTCTGCAGATGCCTCATGAAGCAGGTTGTGGTCCACTGCACTAAGGAAAGAGGTAGTTTTGCCCAAGAGGAAGTACTGCACTGTCGGCAGCAGATCAAGGGGCTATCCATCCCAAGCAACTGCAGGTCAGAAATTGTATCATGGACAGTTTACAGGAGGCCACAGGGAGGGAGGTGGTTGAGAATGTCACCCTGTCACACTTGAGTCACTGGCAGGTGCAGCCACTTTTCATGTGGGTGTCTGCCACTGACAGGCTCTCTTGGCACATAGTCATCCTTCTTCAAAGGTAGAGGATGTGACATTAATAATCTCTGTGGGTGGAAAGCCTGTTGTTACTGGTCATAACCCTGAAGGAAAAATTAGTGGACCTTACCAGGCCAGTATAAATATGAAACCCAGAGAGGGTCTTGAAAGGAAAAGAGATCTGTTTACTTTACTTCTCTTGTCTTTTCTCCTTAGTATCTTCTAACTCAGATCAAAGCTCCATGCCACATGGCAATAAAAAGAAGGCACTATATCATTATCTTGTACCTTCCAAAGAAATTATGTAACCAAAGCATCCCAGGATCAGCAGAGAAGGAAGAAACGGGTAGAGACTTGTCTGTATCCACATGGGACATTTTTGGGTCACCCTAGATCAGAGGTGACACCCATCTGTCCTAGCAATAATTTTACCCATGCTTTAAATTTGTCAAATTGGGTGTTTGACAGTCATTTTAAATGAGAAGTGTTCCTAAGATCCAACCTAGGCTGAGTCGTTTCTTTGATTTCTAGAGAATCCTGCTGGTTCCTCCCTACAGAGGAGATATTCGGTATGATGACGGTTTCCCATGTCTTCTGGGTATTGGATGACCCAGGTTTCATGACAAATTTGCTGATAGTGCACATGGATCTTTTCCCTCTTTCCTTAAAACATTTTTAGGGGGACAGGAAACCTTGATAGGATTCTCATTCCTGATACTAATTCATTTTGTGACCTTACAGGGGTCCCTCAGCTTCACTGGGCTCAATTCTCCTTCTAAGCCCAGGGGTTTGTTACAGGGGTTCTCAAGCTTGGCTATGAGTTAGGAATACTCCGGAAGGTGTCAAACATCTTGCAGCCCAGGCCACACCTCAGACCAGTTACATCAGAGTCTCTAAGGGTGGGAACTTGGTGTAGGTATTTTTTAAAGCGCCTCAATGTTTAGAAGCACTTGTTTACAGCAATGCTGCTTAAACTTTAACGTGCATGTGAATCACCTAGGCATCTGTTAAAATGCAGATTCTGATTCTGTAGGTCTGGGGTAGGGCCTGAGATTTTGCATTTCTAGCAAGCTTCCAGGGCATACTGATGCTGCTGATTCACAGACCAAGCTTTGAGCAACAAGATTTAGAATCTAAGCTTTAGATCAAGCTTGTCCGACCCATGGCCCATGGGATGCATGTGGTCCAGGACAGCTTTGATGCAGCTCAACATACATTCATAAACTTTCTTATATCATTATGAAAACTTTTTGCAATTTTTTTTTAGCTCATCAGCTATTGCGAGTGTTAGTGTATTTTATGTGTGGCCCAAGAACATTCTTATTCCAGTGTGGCCCAGGGAAGCCACAAGATTGGACACCTCTGCTTTAGATGATCAATTAATGTTAATACAAAGCACAGTAATTGTTTGCAAAAATGTGGCACAAGAAATATACTATAAGAATGAGCACAGAAGGAGGAGCAGTTATTTCTAGCAGAGGAAATCAGGAGTGGCCGCACAGAGGAGGTAGCATTTGAGGGAGCCTCAAATGACAAGGAAGGTATTAAGTCAAGGAAACTTCTGTTTCTTCAGAGAAACAGAACCGAAAGGACACAGATACACACACACACACACACACACACACACACACACACACACACAGAGAGAGAGAGAGAGAGAGAGAGAGAGAGAGAAAGAGGAAGAGAGGGTGCATGGAAACCCTGCAGGGTAGACCTGGCCAGTGGGCTAGAGACTCAGAGAAGAGTTAATATTGCAGATCAATCCAAAGCAATCTGCTGGCAGAATTCCTCCTCTTCAGAAGAAATTCGTCTGTTTCTCGTAAAGCTTTCAACTGATTGGGTGAGGCCCAGCACAGAATACAGGGTGTCTGCTTTACTTAGTGTCTACTAGTATAAATGTTAATCTCATCTAAAAAATACTTTCACAAAAGCATCTGGAAAAGTATGTGACCCAACATCTGGCCATTGCAACTTAGTCAAGTTGACATATGAAATTAACCATACAATGAGGGGAAGAGTCCTCCAGTTTCTTCCGACCTCTGAGAACTATAGAATTATAGCTAGACAGGGAGGAGCTTATGGTCCCAGGGAGCAAGATTGATTTCTGGACACTGTTGATATTCCAACTCTTTGTTCTGTGGTAAGGATAGAAGAGTTGGACTTAAGCTCAGCTGTGGTCTCCCTGCCCACTGTCTTCTGTCCTTACT